CTCTCTCTCTCTCTCTCTCTCTCTCTCTCTCTCTCTCTCTCTCTCTCTCTCTCTCTCTCTCTCTATCTATCTATCTATCTATCTATCTATCTTTTCGTCCTTCTCTCGCTCTTCCCCTATCCCTTTTCCTTCTCTCTCTCTCCCCCTCTTTCCCCCTCTCTCCTTCCCCCCCCTTGCCTTTTCTCCCTCTCTCTCTTCCCCTCTCTCTCTCTCTTGCATCATCATCTGACCCTCTCTCTCCCTTCCCCTCACTTAGCATATGACTAACCCTTCTCCCCCCTCACTTGGAAAATATTGTCAGGGCACGAGCGGAGAACGAAATCAGACCTCACTGAAAGTGGAGAAAGAGGATAAGGGGGAGGTAGTCGGTCCCTTGTGCCACCAAGAAGGCAAGAGAGAGGACGTCCAAAAAAGAAAGTGGGAGAGGCGGAATCCGGAAGAAAGCATAAGTTGAAAGTGAGGTCATTTTGACTCAACCATCTCCCTGACTGCATGACTATGAGAAGACAATGGGCTGATTGAACAACAAGAGGGAACAATGAGCAACCAAAAGACTTGAAAGAATAGGCATGTGGGAATGACTATGTGTTGACCCCCGATGGGCGATGGGGGATTGTATGGATCTTTTTGTTTGTGTGGGATTGTGCAGGTAAGTGATGGATAAAGATGCCTTGAGCGGGATAGGGGCAAGTGTAACCGGGCGTCAAGAGGGAAAGGGAAGAGGGCGTAGGGGCTATGGGACCCTTGACATAAAACTACCCCATGGATATGACTTGTGCGTTTGAAGACTAGGGGTGCAAATGGGAGTGCTGTCATGCCAAGGAAAAAGTGATGATGTGTGCGCATGCATAAGAGGACCCCGAAAAGACTAAGGGGCCTACTTCAATAAGGTGGGAAGCAAATTGAGAGATCCGATGGACGTGTAAAGGCGAGGAGGAGGACGGCCCCACCGCACCCCGATGACGCCATATAGCCAAAATGCTTAGGGAAATGGTGCGTGGCCTAAGGATGACGCTTAACCTACGCACAAAAGAAGAGAAAGGCTCAAAGAACCCCTGGACTGCCTGCGTATTGGAAGGAGCAGTTGCTTGAGAACACAATAAAGAATAAAAAAAAATCAGCGTTGCGGAACGACCAGCGAGACTACCACCCGGCGTGAGGGCTGAGCTACATCCCCAATGCCAAAGCTCTCTCGCGCGATGGCCCACCCCCATCCATCTCAAAGCACTAGGTGGGGGTGACCTTGGGACGAATGGCCCTCGCCCTTAGCATGAGTGTGGGCGGGCCGAGCCAACTGGGACCCGCAGTGGGGTCGACTAAGGCTCGAAAGTCTACAGGGGTTTGGCCCTACAAAAATGGTGGAGGTGACGGCCATAGGGTTAAATTGACCCTTGCGATTTCGACGGGGGCGCCCAACGCATTGACGTGTACACAACCCAAGATAAGGAAAATGGACTTGTGTTTGCTCTTTCCCTTGTGAGAAATCAGATTTGAGGGTGGCTGGGCGCATGGCATGGCCAGGCCTGGAGGTATAACATGCATGCTATGCACTTGATCAGCCRTTYCYTTGWGGAATGRYTCTAGCCCTCCTTCRTCCGGTGCTGGTGTTCGCCAGTCCGGGGAAGCCTTGGGCAAGTCGCAGGTCGACTCTTCCTCTTCGTATGAAAGAAGGGCTCCGGTTACCTGGCAGGCGGTTGGTGCTTGGCTTAGGCCGAGCTCCAATGAAAATCCCGCGGCGGAGTGATCCGACCGGACGGGTGTCCTTCTATCCCCTTCTTTGAGCCCAGTGGGCTCATGCACTTTGCACTTTTTTTTGAAATGTTTGAAGGAACCAATATGAACACAACAGGTCATCAAGAAAGAACAATCCTATCCTATGAAAGGACAGACAAGTGAAGAGACGGGAATGAAGGGAGTTGCTAGACTCCAAGGAAAACTAGCTCACCCTGGAAGACTCTCACGAGAATGAACCAACCACTATGTATGAAAGTAGGGGGAGTGACACTCATTGTCCTGAGAGAAAATCTGTGAGTTATGGGTAGGAAGCGCTGGGTGCACCAAGGGAAAGACACTTGTACTATGTGTGTCCCACTTGGGACTTGTGATTGCATGATTGGGATTTCGAGCGTCCTGCCATTTGGAAGGAAAAAATTGGTTTGCGCCGGCCGGTGAAGTTCACCGGGTTCCGTGTGTGTGGGTCGGGTCACCGGACTGTCAGGCAAGGGTTGGTCTCGTCGGCTGATTAGTAGCATTCTCACCAGAGCGGTCCGAGCATGGCTCGATGATCTTGCCCAAGTGGGATGTGAAACCTCTTCAGGCGGGGCGGCTGCTTGGCGGCAGACGGCAGGGGGACCATTGCATATGGGGCAAGGAAAGAGCCTCGGAGGCGATTAAGAGCTTCTCGTAGCATGGCTTGGGAAAAACTGTTCCTTATCGGACCGATGAAAGTGAATGCCTGGACGGCTGGCTCCAATGGCCCTACCGAGATGTGCGGGGTGATTCCCGAGATTAACGGTGGGTATACGAGCGGCAAGTCGGGATGGGGTATTCTGGGTAAGGAGGAAAGGGCGAATGCCTTGCTGAGACCTGGGTACCGCGCTCGCGACGGTTGAGCTGTGCTTGAGGTATGGGATAAAACCCTACCGATAGTACCAGCGGAGAAACCATATTGGGATGGTCGGTGAGGAGATGACCGGCCCGTATGTGAGATTGCCTGATTTTTTTATGTACCCTCCCCCGTAAAGATTGATTGAGCTTGGATTGTTGGACGGGTATTCTTCTAAGTCTATTCCCCCTCCCTTCTAAGTCCACACGAGTGAGAGATGATCGGAAGGAAGAAGGATAGAGGTCAATTGGAATGGAACCAAGAGAAAGAATGTGGACAAATGGGTGGCCGACCGAGGGAATTATGGGAAAAGGGGTACTTAGGAATGGGAAGGTAAATTAGGGAAACCTTAATGGGGGGTCTGAAATAATCCTCATTTAAGAAAAGGGGTTGCCCTGACCAGAAGAACCGGTTGGTACTCTTTCATGAAAAACAGGGGCCGGGTGCTGGAAACAAGATGGCGCGATGGTTGTCTCCCCCGACTTATACCAGCGGTCCAAAGATGCCAGTAGACGTAAAGGATGGGATGTCGGTCGTCCTCCCGGAAGATGGGGCGTGGACGGACCTTGAACCAGCATATCAAACCGTGATGCTGAATGGGAAAGACGTGTTCTTGAGGATAGAGACGGTATGGGCTAATGTTAGCTTGACAAGGTTGTCACCAAGTTTAATGGATTTGGAGTTCCGAGGAACAGTGGAAGCTCGGGGGTGGGTCTACTTGTCGCAAGATGGGAAAAATGCTATGATCATAGAATTGGCACTCGGGAATACGCCGGACGAATTGTTTAAGAAGGCGGAAGCGGAGGTCGTGTGGGCTGCGTATCAGCGAAGGGAGATGGAAATGGAGAGGGTAGATGTGCGGGTGGAACTTGGGGATAGAGGAAGCATGAGGCGACTCGTAAGAACCATGCGATGTGTGCTGCCTCCCTTCCTAGTGGATGCGGTTTTCGGAACTCGGAGCAGGCTAGTACGGATATGCCAGTCCATGACGAACCTCGGGCTATACCAATGCGCTAGGCAGGATTTCTTTCGGTTGTCAGTAGAAATGGGGCCGTTTGAGGGGAACTGGGCGGACGAACTAGCCGAGATACTAAGTTGTCTTAGCTTAGACAATATCTATGTCTCTAGCCCTGTACATTGGGGGATAGTGTATAGAAATGTAGCAATAGGGGAGACATTCCTGGAGGGGGTGAAAGAGTTGTTCTACGACGGAGAGGACGATTTCGGTGATGAGGACGAGGATGAGGAGATAGAGGATTTGGACTTCTGAGAGGATGGGGAAACTTAACTTAGGGAGGACGGGTGGCTTGGTGTTGTGCGGGAAAGGGGAAGATGACTAGAGAAGAAAGGATGATGGAATACCCCTTCAAAGGCTGGGAACCACGACGACTCAGAGGAGGAATAGAAATGCCTATACCAACAGGGAACGGATGGAGAGGGACCACGTGGGAAAGAGGAAGGTTGGGACGATTTAGCAAAGGGCAAAGTGGAGTCAGTTGGAACGATTGTCCTTTCCGAGGATGGATGACACCTGTTTTGCACTATGTTAGCCATGGGGCAGAACCCGATGTGGCTTCTAGGGGATGCAAAGACGCGAATCCGGAAGGAAGGCAAGAGGTTCGCCAATGAAGAGTGGGACGAAGTTAGTAGCAAAGTTGTGATGGGAGGATGAAAAGAACTCAGGCCTCCCTGCCTGCGCATAACAGCTTGGGTACCCGAGTTCGTGGCCGACTGGTTCGGGGGTTTGAGCACATAGCAGACGTAGCCGACTCCATGAGGAAAGTACACATAGAATGTGCCTGGCTGACCGAGGAGTTCTATAGGTTTTCCTTAAAGTATGGGCCCTTCTACAGGGATAAGGCCGGTGAGGTCATCACCATCCTGAGAATAGGCAAGTACGACCGCCTAGAAGTAAGCGCGAAAGCTTGGGACGCCATAGTTAGCTGGGAGGCGGAGGCGGCGGCCGCGCCATCCTATGTGGACGATGTCTTTTTGCTGTTTGAGGTGCGGTGGTTTGATTAGAAGGGTTCAAAGTTCGAGCGCCACGGGAAGGATGGAGTATGGAGGATGCATGTGATTTAGGGTGTAACATAAGAAAGGGGCATGTACATTAGTCAGCAAGGGATGCGAGGAGGCCAAAATAAAGGCAGGCATGGAAACGGGATAGCGGCAAGAACCGGTGTACGATAAGTAGGGGGGGGGGTTGAAAGACTAAAACACGAAAGGCGTGGAATCTCGGTGGGTGCAGCAAGCAGACTAAGAAAGCGGGAAAGGAGACGTTGCGAGATGGCCCGACGAATGACGTTCTGGGAGGATAGACCTCGTGGGATCATGCCACCAAGAATATCAAAAGGCAGGGTCGAAATAAGCCTGCCGGCAAGAAGTACGGTAGGGAATCCGGTGATGGACTGGGTGGGGGTAGAGTTGGTGGAAAATACAGTGTACCTAGTAGTGGAGCTGGAATTGCGTGCGAGAGGGGAGTTCGGGGGCGTAGACTTGAATCGCTCGGGGCGTGTGCATGCGACGGGATCCTTACACCTGTCGGAAGAGGGATGGCGGACCTTTGGGATTGCTTTGGCTTTCGAGGATGACCCCGTGCGAATGTTCGAAGGGGCATGGCAAATAACCTGGCGGGAGGGGTTTGAGTTTGCAGACCCGGGACCAGATGACGTAACGGCGGAGGTAAAAGTCACCGCGGCAGGGGTCTTTGAGCTACCAAGTGAGGTCATACGGATGAGTCTACCGCCCTTCCTGCTAAGACAAATGGGGGCCATAGAACGAGTGGAGCAGGCGGTGACTGCCGTAACGAGGCTAAATTTCGACGAAGCCTTAATGTATCGAGAATACTACCGTGTCTTTCTAGAGATGGGGCCTTTCGGGGACGAACAGGGGCGCGAGGTGCTTTGCATTCTACGAGCAGTGGTAAATACTAAGCCGAGAATCCCCCAAATAAGTGATGAGACCATGTAGGGGGTCATCCGGCGAGAGGTAGGTCAGGGCGCGACCTACATAGATGATCTCTACCGGTTGTACGAACACCCAGAGGAGACTACTGCTCCCGGGGGTATGGTGGGATAGTTGGGACTAGAAAAGAGGAATGAAAACACGAAGGGCAAGGGGGCAGTAGGTGAACGGTTTCTAAGGATTGGCTGTAACACTTTCTATGTGGATCATGCAGGAAATCACCAAGGTAACCATGGCAGCAAGACGTGAGCATATGGAACTTCAGGCCCGTGTGAGAATGGCACGCCAACCTCGGTACCCCGAACCGCCGTGGAATAACGGTGGACGCTGGGAAGTATCCCTCCCAACGAGTTCAACTTATCGGGGGTTCGATATAGAATGGCGGGCTGTAACTTTGGGGAGGGACGCCGCCTTCATGTTGGTAGAATGTCGGTGGACAGGGATGAGACTCGACCGAGGACCCGGGGACGATCTGTTTTCCAATCTGGAAGTTACCGGGACCGTGTATCTGCCTGAGATCGGCTGGCACTCGTTGGGGGTAGAGATAGCACAAGGTCACGAGCTGGCGCCAGTTTTTCAAAGGGCCGCCCGGACGTTGACCCGGATAGCACAATCAGTCAGGGGTAGAAGGAACGTGGGCTTACTTACCCGGGTGGAAATGGGGGGATGGCGTGAATTCAGAGCACCAACCACGCCACTGAGGTGCCGGGTCCCCCGTTTTATGATAGATCTCGTCTTCGGGAGCCTTGCAAGGGCGAGAGCTAGCAGACTCGGCAATAATGTCGGCAGACCACTTTCCCTCTCTAACCATCGGGATGTTCTATGATGTCGCCGTGAGGCATGGGCCGTTCTGGGGAAACAGGGCCCACGAGTTGCTAGAGGTCATCCATATCCTGATATTTCGTGCGCCCTGGCTAGACCAGACAGGGCACAAACGCATAATCCAAAGGGAAATCGAGATAGGAGAGAGCTATTTGGCAGGGGTGGCTGAGCTATTCGAGGAGCCGACCGAACCGGAAGAACCACGAGGGCGCGAGCGGGACTAGGATCCGCGGGCAGGCCAATAGGGCAGATCCAGTATAGTTCGCTGCGTACGGAAATCCGTCAATGAGAATAAGAAAGGGGCCTCGGACCCGGATGGCTAAAACCCATTAGGAAAACAAAGAAGGGGGTAGACTCCTAATGATTGACCATAACCCTGAAGGTCAAAAATAGGAAACACTGCTTGGAAAGACTTTCCCTAGCAGAATGCCTAACCCGGACTCCCTCGCATCGGCCCGACGGGACAAGGGCATGACAAACAGGCTTGTGATAAAGGAAGCCAAGTCACGCTCATAGCTCGGCTGAGCGGCAGGGCCAGTCGTGGTTCCTCCTTAAGGAAGGGCAATCAGGAAACGAGGATGGGAAAGGAGGCTATATAGATAAGCCAACAGGGTTGGGAGCCTAGGAAACCTAAAATACCTCGCATTGCGTGTGTCCTGGGAATTCTTTGGCGTATGCAGAACTAGGCAAAATGGCAACGGAGGAGGAGACAGATAATCATAAGAGTGAAGAAGAACCGGGCTTAGGAGGCAGTGCTGCACAAAGCAAAAGGGGGCAGAAGGACAGAGAATCGATAAATCCGGATGGTACCAAAGGGAACCGGAAGGAGGTCTCCACAGGGGAAAGCTCGGGGAAAGCTGGGGGAAGCAGGCAGGGAACTCAGGGGACCAAGGAAGGCAGGAATAAGGATAGGACAAGCCCCGGAAACTTGGAAGGAGCCGTGTCTAAGAAAGTAAGGGTCACGGATACGAGGCGCAGACTAGCCGAGATAGACAAAAGGACCGCGGAATACAAGGCAAGATTGATTGAGGAAATGATGACTGGGATCGAAGAGGGCACTCTGCAGGAGGAGCCCCGAGACGAACGGAGAACCGGTCGAGGTGAGACTGGACAAGGGGATAAAGGTAGTGACCGTGGGGGAACGCCGAGCAAAAGAAGGAAAGAAGGGGATAACTCTTCAGGGATGGACGTGGAAAAGGCTACGACCCCGCCAGCCATAGATAATAGGGCTAGCCGCCTGCCGACCACGCCAGCAGTGACGCGAGGGTGCGAAGGACTCTGGAGCCTTAGGGAAAGAGTGTTGGGATGGTTTGACCCACAAGGAACTACGAAAACTAGGGAGGGACAGAAGGCCGACAAGGAAGGTCCGGATAACAGTGTGACAGGCGAGGCCAGCAGCTCTGAGGGCGGCCTTAAGAAGATAGTGTCGTCTCTCGTGCGAGCACTAAACAAAAATCAAGGCTACCTAGCGGATGCTAAGAAAAAGTTGACGTTTGATGGGTCGAACATCACGCAATTCCTGATAGATTACGAGAACCTGGTTGCGCTGTTGAAATGGATCGAAGAGGAGAAGATGGACCGCCTGGGACAGCATGTGTCTTTGAGCCTAGGACGGGACATAGGTCATCGTAGCCGCAAGCCGGTCTTGGAAAGAAACCCGGGATGTGATGATGAGAAAGTATCTGGCAGCAGAAAAGATGGCAACGGAGGCCGATTTAGCGGCAGTCCAGAGAAAGAACTTCGCAACGTACAATGACTTCCTACGGGAGTTTACCTTAGTAGCACTAAGAATCCCCAGGGTTACGGATCGAATAATGAGTAAGTATTTCCTCAGACAGTTCTCCGAGTTCGACAAGGACAAGTTCTTGTCGGTTTACCAATAGACGAGCAAATTTGTAAACACTAGGGACGTTGATTTCAGTACGGTAACGGATCTGGCCGAAAAGACGGTAGTGACCGAGACATTGGCCTTGCTTAAGGAAGGGGAGATTATAGACTTGACCAGTAGAACGGGCGACAAGGTGAAAAAGGGGATTGAAAGCCTACACGAACGGGTGCACAGAGTCAACAACAAGATTGAAAGGATGGAGAGCGCGCTACTAGTTATGCAGCCGCAAGTATCCCGTCCCCCCCGCCCGCCCCAGGACGCAGTAGTTCCGTCAGGGGTGGCCAATCGTGGATTCGGACGGAGAGATCCCTCTAACGAGCAATGCAAGTACTGTACCGCGATAGGACATTATGTGCGCGCGTGCCCAAAGCTCAACCATGATATTCTAAAAAGAAGGTGTACCAGGTCATTAAAGGGGGAGATATTAGGACCATAAGGGGAACGGGTAAACTGGAACTCACCAGAAGGGATGCGGCGAGCCATTATCATGCTCAACGGGCTACAAATAACAGTCGTAGAAGCCGAACCGGTGGGCGAGATCATCTGGGATCAACGTCAGGGGCGCAGGCCGCAGGTCAATTTCATTTTGGAAAACGACGGACATGATAGGGTGAACGCGACTACTCGGCTAGGAGCGGTTGGAAGAAGGATTAACCGTGACACCGTGATGGAGGAGGTTGCTGGAAGTTCGGAACCCCAGGCAGAGCCTGAGGCCGAGGAACCGGAAAAGGACTATGGAAAACCTAGGGAAGAGGAGCCTACAGACAAAGTTTCCGCTGCCAAGAAGAAGTTTAGGTACCAAATCCCGATCTTATCCTTACCTGAGATCGATGACACCATTAGCAAGTTACTAGGGACCATGGTGTTGGTGTCTTTTCAGACTATGCTGCAGGCTAGCCCTAGGTTGCTCAAAGGGCTTAGACAATTGTTGACCCGACGGCGAGTAGAAATAGGCGACAACCCCGAACTACCTGAAGGGGAGAGGGAGGAGGAAGCTCCGCAAGAAGTAGCTAACCTTCAGAGGAGTCGCGAGGACTTGGAGGATCTCGAGAAAGTTTTTGCGAACATTCGTTTGAGTTTGCCCGACCGAGAGGGCGGCGAGGTCATGAGGTTACCTCCCGGGACAAAGCTTAGCTTTCATGCACTGCCTGTAGGGAAGCTGAAAATCCAGATCGGGACTCATCATACCGACGCGTTAGTAGACGGGGGGGCAAAAATAACCCTTATAAGAAGAGATTTCGCAATGATCACGGGATGTACGGTAAACAAGGAAGTAACAGGGAGCCTCCGGGGAGATGGCGGGGAAATCTCGTTCGCTGGGTACGTCACGAAGTGTGCTGTAAAGGCAGGGGTCAGGGAATCAATCTGGTCATTTCAGCGGATGACCGTAATGGAGGAAATGGATCACGACATAATCCTCGGGAGACCGTGGTGCGCGAACGTAGAGATAATAGGCATGCACTTGCACGATGGCTCATATATGGTAGACATAGAGGACCCGGTGACCGGCCGGGGAGAGCTCCTCCGACTCCTTGGAACGGGAGCAGACCCCCCGAGGGGGAAATTGGCAACATGGTCGCCGTCATTCGAGGATAGCACGCGAAAAGGGGCTTTCGCACGGATGGAGGGTATGAGAGAAAGGGTAGAAATCATGACTGAGGAAGCGTTCAACAAGAAGGAGTGGATCAAGATGGGCCTGCCTAAGAAGAAGAGGAGGCAGGGGGACGAAGTCCTAGGTGTTATGGTAGCAGAAAAGGAGTCAGAGATCGAACTTGGTGCTAGCCTGCCCAAACGGAAAGAAGTGCGCGTAGACATGCCGGAAATCGCACTCGAGATCCCTGATCTATTGCAACTCATCAAGGCCCTCAGATACCACAAGGTATGAGTGGATTCGGCAGCCTTGGCCAAATTCGAAAGAGAGGTGCAAAAAGGATATTGCCTGAATGGGAAATTAGTTAGCATTCAACCACGAGTCATAGAGGCGACGGGGGCAATTCCGGCTGTTCATTTTTTAGGAAAAAGATCCCGGAAGGAAGTGTTCGAAAGTACAAGCCGATAGGGAAGAAAGCAAAACCGGTCTCGATCCTGTTAGAGACATCAAAGGAAGAGGCTATGGAGAAGGAGGAAGAGGTCCTTCGAGTGATCCAAGAAAGAAGGGCGACGGAGGGACATCGAATACCAGATGAGGTAGCGAACACAATGAAAATAGGGATAGACGGGTTCTTAACGGAAGAATAAAATCGCCTAGGCAATGCACGACGGGTTAGCTGGAGGTCATCGGTCTTCCAAAGGAACACTTGCAAAAATAACGCCGCTCTATTATTGGTCAGGCATGGTAGGCATGGTCGTCATATACTGCCAGACTTGCCTCATTTGCCAAGAACGAAGCTCGGTACGAGTCTTCGAGCCGCTTAGACCAACGCGGGTGCTAGGGCCGGGACATCTGGTCCACCTCGACCTTGCGGTCATGCCTGTATCAACGGATGGGTACAGGTATATCCTGGATACGCGAGACAACTTGAGTGGGTTCGTGGAGGCAGTCGCCCTCAAGAAAAAGACAGGGAGGAGTGTGGCGGACTGGATAGAAGACTTCTACTTAAGGCACCCGTTCGTCAGGAGGTTTATAGCAGACAATAGGACGAAATTTGTGAACCAAGAAGTATTGGGGATGCTTAAGAGACTCTGCGTACCGATCAAACTCATCGAGCCGTATCACCCTGGGGCCAATGCACCGGTGGAAAGGGGGCACCGAACCTTGAAGAACACGATTGCAAAGCTCGCAGCAGACCATCTGGGAAACTGGCCTAGGTATCTTAAGCAGACTGTCTTTGCAGAGAATATGACTCCTAAAAGGACAACAGGATGTATCCCGACAGAGTTTTGGTACGGAAGAGAGATCGACTTTCCTGTGGAAACCTTGGTACCTACCTGGAATAGGTTAGATGATGATCCGCAAATAACCACTGAAGAGTTAATCGAGGCAAGATGTCAACAAATCCTTAAGAATGAGGAGGTCATGGAAGACATCGTCAGCCGGGTGCTGGACAACAGAATGAGGGACAAAGCAAGATGGGAATAGGTTAAGAATGTCAGAAAGGAGGCACTTCAGGTGGGGGAGATGGTACTACTAAGAAACTCGGCACTAGAAAGTACTTGGTCGGGACAGTTGGGAAGGAGGTTCAAAGGCCCTTACCGGGTCGCCAAGCGAGTGGGATTGAACACCTTCGAACTGGAAGATTTGGATGAAACTGGATTGAAAGGGTCCTTCCCGGGGCAACGACTGGTCAGGTTTCTAAGTCGGGCCCCAGTGAAACAATGGCTTCAGGAGGCCGAAGATAAGGAAACAAAAGAGCCACAAGCTAAAGACTAACCACAGTCTTGCCCACACTATGGTTTGTCTCTGACCATGTTCGTGGGACTGTCATTTTTTTGGGACTGATGCTTTAGCTTCAACTGACTGAGGTTGAAAGGTAGCATGACTTGGGGGTTGCAATATCTGACTTGTGTGACAACGGGAAGGGATGTTTGGGGCATTGTACCATAGTTTTTTACGAGAAAAATATGGGGTCATAACGAACGACGCATTTGCATGTATAAAAAGGGCGTGATGCGAGGGATATTGGGTGCATTTTGAGAATGTCTACCGGCCTAAAGGGGGGGGAGGCGTAAGTATATGAGGGACATTGCGGATGTTGTTTTGTTATACAGGGCTTAGGAGTAAAACGAGAAAAGACAAAAATGGAATTCGGCAACGAGAACGACAGCGGGTTAATCAACAGGCCTACCGGAGGGGGAGAAGCTGGACCAAGCGAAGGGAGGAGGACAGCGAAGAGAAAATTATACATTGGGCTCATGGGCGGGCCAGTGATAGGCAAGGGTGAAATGAAATGTTTGTGTAGGAAACCCTCACCCCTCCGCAAGGGAGAAGGTATAGAAATATCATCTGATAGTGAGGGCGAAAAGAGAAGGGTAAATGTAGAAGAAGGAGGCAACACAGAAATGAGAGATAAGGCTCGGGTCTCTAACGAGGAAGGGGCCAACAGGGGCGAACGTCGTGAGACTTGGCATGAGGAAAGCGAGGGGGGACAAGGTATGTGCGACGAACGTGAGGAGGACGAGAAGAAAAGGGAGAGTCTGCTTGAAGGACGAAGCGGTCACGGCAGTTGCGAGGGGTATGGGACGGGGACAAAGATCCATTTTACCTACGGTCCAAAGAACCTTGCTGGTGGGTATAGCCCCATACAGACTGAAGACGAGGGGGACGAGGAGGAGGATGTGCGAGAAGTTATAGAAATCAGCAGCGGGGATGAGAGGGATGAAGTCTCAAGGCCTAGGGAAGAGGGGCGGCCTCCGATGCACCAACCAAGCGATGGGGCTTTCAGATGGGAGGACGAGTTCAGGCCAACGCCCAGTCATTGGTTTCAGCAATGGACCAATGTAATCAAGCACGAATGGATTATCAAGACTCGGGAACTCGTAAGGGCAGGGGTGGAAGCCACACCACTAGATTTTTTCTTCGAGGCTGAGTTGCATAAAATTGTAAGGATGAAAAGAGAGATCGAGCACCAATGGATTCTCATATCGCTGCTTTCTGTCTGCTGAGATATGAGAATGACGAGAACGTGTATAATAAGGGCAAGCTTGCTAAGGAGGAAGTGAAAAGAGGGTCAGCTAAGGCTGTGTCACGCTAAAGTAGAAGATAGTTGTTGAAGCTACCTTTGGATGAGCTACTTTGGGTACCTAAGACAAAGACATGGGATTTGAGATGAGACCGATTGGGAGAGGGCGTATTGTGAATTTTGGATGGAACAAGGATTATGCTTTTAAGAGGGGAAAACCTTGAGTACGGATTGACGAGCAAACCATGGCATTGAATGACTAGTCGAGTACAAGAGAGGTTAGGGAACCTATGGGTCAAGGGGCGTGAAGAACACTCCTTCTCTAGGAGCCTAATCCAACTGAGTCGTGAATGGGACTTAGAATAGCCGAGACCTGAGAGATCAGGAAGAGTGAAAATGGAAGGGGCGTTTTTGTCTTTTGTTATGGATGAACGACCGGGTGGGCTAATGCTGCTTGGGGTCGCGAGCCCCAACTCGAGTGCTAGACGCTAAGTCGGATGTACGCATGGATGGTACATTACTGTGAGAAATGGAATAGATGGTACATTAATGTGAGAAATGGAATGGGTGGTACATTACTATGAGAAATGGAAGAGAGAGAACAACACGCAAAATGTGAGATGGCCACCTTCTAACCTCCAAGATAGAAATGGGATCCGTAACCTCGAGGCCCACCCCCTCGGGCACTAACATTGAGAATATTAAGGAATGGTCCTAACCAGGCTGTTCGACTTGAGAATGGAAAGGAATGACCCTAACCAGGCTGTTCGACTTGAGAATGGAAAAGAATGGCCCTAACCAGGCTGTTCGACTTGAGAATGGATAAGAACGACCCTAACCAGGTTGTTCGGGAATGACCCCTGACCAGGGTCATTCCTTTTGAAATAGGCACTGGGGTCCCCTGCATATTGGATTGAGAAAGGTTGATTGAGAAAGACTGATTGAGAATGTGCTGGAATGAGAGAGATGGAAAAGGCCAGTGGGTCGGTCATTGAAAATAGCCAAAGGATGGATAAGAGAGATGGAAAAGGTCGGTGGGTCGGTCATTGAAAATAGTCAAAGGATGGATGAGAGAGATGGGAAAGGCCGGTGGGACGGTCATTGAAATAGCCAATGGGATGAGGAAAATGGAAAAGGCCGGTGGGTCGGTCACTGAAAATTGCCAAGGGGACGAAAGGAAAATACGAAAGAGAAGGACAAGATAAAAAAGGTGGAGCCTTAAAGCCGAGAAGGGCAGGGACTGTTGGGACGGTCACAGAAATTGGGTGTTGAGGAATGAGAAATTGAGGATTGAGTGGGCGAAAGGGTCAGTCTTGAGAAATGGCTATTGAGAGAATGACCATCAGACCGGCCGTGAGGGTGGCCTTGTTGATAAGAGGTTGTCAGACCAGCCATGAGAATAAGCCTTGGAAGTAGCATTGGATTGAATGATTGAGGATTGAATATTGCATTGCATAGGTAGGGGACCCTAGGCAACTTGAAATGGACTTGGAAATAGCATTGAAATAGATTTTCTCATTTTCTAGTCTTTGGCCTCAGCAGGAGGCAGGAGGGGGATACCGGTGCTCGCACCGCCACCCCAAGACCTCTATCCCTGTAAGGAAAAAAGTCTCAGCGCGACCTGTTCCTCTTGCAAGGGGATGAGGGTTAAAGGACCAAGGCACCTACCACTTGGATCGGTGCGGGACGTCCGGAACTGACCCCGACAACGAGCTCTAGTCGGGAAGTTCAAATTGCGCCTCGTGTTGAACGCCTAAACGTCAAAGGGTGAGGGAACCAAATGGGCGAGAGAGTCATTCTTCTCCTAAGTCTCATTTGTTCTCCCCAACCATACGCCATGCCGTTGAGGGGCGGCACGGCCGCTTGGAATGGACCACGGCAGCTCGCGTTAAGTTGAGCAGCACTGTCCAGAGGGAGGAGTTGGGCGTGGTACCGGGTGGAAGCCACAACCACCACGGGGCGAGTGACACCGCCCCGCCGGAGCATTACAACCGCTTCGAGACTAATTGCGAGGTCTTCGTAACTGCACTCGTGGACTAATTGAGAGCCCCAACTCTCTTGAAAGAAAGAGGCCGGATCCAGAAAATTACCACTCGGGAGGAACGATTCGCGAGGAAGCCCTTACGACAAGACAGGATCCTGGGAGGCTTGGACTGGACCTGCCTTCCAAATGTGAGGAGGTACCTCAGTAATGACGCCCGTCTCGTAAGCAGCAAAAGGTCGGACGGAGTAAGGGGATGAGGTGAGTTATCAGCAGGGGGAGGACTGATCACCCTTCCTTTTTGGGGTTGATGGGCCGGCATCCGCCTACTCGTTGGCGGGCCAAAGGTTGCGTACCTCCGAGTGAGAACC